ACTTATTTTCTCTTTGCGGCCCTGACTTGATTCTCGGCTCGGTCCACATGTGGATTGGGTTTGCAGTCCCTATACTTATACCCCCTTTTCCTTTGCCCCTTGTTATGGTGTTTTAACAACTTCATGACATTTATTATTTACCATTCTATAATTCTGTTCGCTATTTTCACCATAGATATCGCGTGTTTCATTACTCAACACATTAATATCACCAACGAGAAGTAGCTGATTTAGTTCCCAGTATACATCTATTATGTATTATTGGCCTATATCGGCAAGGCAAGACAAACTAGACAATGGGTAACAGAAAGGCAGACTGCAAACAGTGGCTAATTTAAGAGCGAAATTGGGACTCTGAACAAGAGTGGATTCAGTTTTTCAGCTTGGATTTCGGAAACTTCGGCGGGGGGAGAGTTATTAGTCGCCATAAGTGTCAAAGCCATTTCAAATCTTCAAGTTTTTTTCTGAACCGCTCACGGACGACAAACTCTACAGGTGGTTTATGCTTCTTAGGCGGTCTTCCAACCTGTACACCTTTAGACGTAACCGTCCACCACAAAAAAGCTGGTAATGAACAGGGGAGGGGACCCCCCACCTGTTGAGAGCAGAATTTGGAGGGTGGAAATGTAAGCAGGGAGAGTCTTGATGCCCTTCGTTACACAAATTCTAACCCCAACTGCTATTTTCCGGTGTCCCCGTTAAAACCACATCAGGAATACAATATGGAACATGCAGGACCATGGCCCACTCTATCCACTGTATTTTTGTACCTTAATGAATCTAGATCCGCCACTGTCCTTTGAGGCTGTAATTTCAGGATTTAACACAATCCGGTCCAATATTTCTATTTTGCAGCAGTGAAAGAAAATTCCGGCCACGCAGCTTAATGTTTAAAAATGTCAACGATTTTCTCCTCCAAAACAATACATCTAACACTGCAAACACAGACTGGCCAATTATTGATGACATACCCCTATCGAATCAGTGTTTATTTTAATAGAACGTGATTACATGGTGACAATATAACACAGTGTCAACAGAATGTAATTACCATGCACAATCTACATCACACGCAGGATAGATGGGCTCGAGACATTTTAAAAACAGAGAACATTAAAAAAATCTCTCTGAGAAATTAAGGTAAACATGCCATGTACAATAATACCTCTATATGCTACTATGACATATAAATCAACCGATTTTGCAGAAAATGAGACGTATCAGCTTGTAACTTTCCACGGCATATTACTATTGTCAATTTTTCTTAACGAAGGGGCTGTTCGCCCCATCAGTCTCTAGTAAGAAATCAAAAGAATATGTTATATTTAACCGTTTATATGTTGAATGTTTTACGGCATATTAAGTACCCTTCAGTGGACTCCGCCCATATAGTTCTTTTGAAATGAAAACCTACAAACTACGAGGAAAAACATAACAACTGAGTTTTTTTCTAAAGGGCGATGGCGAAGCCTTACAGTATTCTCATTTCTTCATAAAAATTAATGGCTACCAAATCATTTCCCGTTTCGCTTGCAACCGCGTACATACCTAGAATAGTCGCCACTATCAACCCATACAGGGCAGGCAGAGCAGTCAGGAAAATCCATCTCATTGTGAAGCCTGTTGTCCTTTACTCCTTCTCGACAGAGCAGAAAAATGTACTAACTCCGATTGGCTGTGAAGAAGACTTCGTTTCGGCTTATCCAAATATCGTGAGAATTATCCAGATGCTTTTCAATGGATTAACGATCCTTGAGGCACGGTGTGATGTAAATTGGCACAGAGCACGCAGTAACCAAACTTCGCCCTCGCTATACCCGATTTCAGCATTTCCAGGATGAAAGAAGTTAATATTAACCCGTTGCTTTGGGCGCTCCGTTAAAGCCTGCGTGAAGTATTTCAGAGATCGCTCCCTTTATGCGCAGATCGTATCAGAACTGGACGTTTTGCGGCCAAAGTCGAGACGGCGTATGCGTCACTATTCGATATTTCATGTTAGGGGTATGCCTCAACATTTCCCAGCCTCTGTTTACGAAAAATACCGCAATACCGACGTCAAGTTCCCAGAAATCGTTCATATATAAATTATGGTCCGTCTGCATATCCGGCTATTCCTTCATGAAGTACGGATCCAGAAGTATGCGTTTAATCCTTTTTTAACGATTACGTTATTTTTACCTTTTCAGTGGCATAGTAGTTTATTTTATCTTGTTTCGTATCCCGCCCATTATGGAAAAAAAAAAACACCTGTCATCACCGACTATGGGCCTATAAACGTCCAATTAGTCGCTGCTATATTTTATGACGATCTATTTCAGCTCTGATTTAAACCAACGTAGACAGTGTCCTTATAAATCTAGCCACTGACAAAAATTAGGAAAAACTAATAAAGAGTAAAAATTACCAAGGATAAAAAACTGTTTAAAATGGAATTTGATTTCATCTGTGGAATGTTTCACCCGTGGAGACATGCACAGGGATAGCATAACGTTGTTGTGAATGACCGCTTTTGTTATTCCTGGACGCATTCCATTGATTTGCTTTATTAAATGATCGCATTACTTCAGGTGCGATGGTTAGCCGTGTACTTGCGAACTGAATACTGTGCTTGTTATGGTAAAGTATATACATGAACCCCTCAATTAAAAACTGGATTCCACTGACAACGCGGTTTGTTTGATTTCAACTTGACCCCAGCGCAGCGCCCCACACGGAGCAAAACAAACCGATCAATGATTGCGGACTGCAAACTAAGAAACCGATATTGGCAGTCTGACGTTGGTCCAGTGCGCATTGGGCAACTGAATGATTCGAGTTACAGAGTTAATACCTTTGTAAAGTTACACGTGTCATTTCCTTTCGTCCGTGAAAACAAGGCTCACGGCTGCTGAGAAAAGTTATAGAATCTTCCCAACTGCCCTCTTGTAAGCCTGGAAAACTGTTATACCAAAGGAAAGTGCAGATCCGGAAAAAAGTGGAACATTTAGAAATAGGAAATATCTTTATTGAAATGCCTTCATGCCTGTAGTAGTTCTGTAGGAAGGCAAAGGAATAGTCCCCTCACTTGAAGTTCTGTAATTGGGGTGCCTGGCTTGGAACGTGTCTCAATGGAGGATTGGGCTTTCAAGTTGGACCATAAAATGTTGGGGTTCAATCAAACTCAAAGGAAATTATAATTTATTCGTTTTTATGGAAAATGGGATATTGGTTCCAATGGTGGCAGGCCTCACCATGGAGGAACCATGCATGGAAGAACCGTCTTCGTAATACAGCACTTGTGCTGCAGTGCCAACGTTATTACATCAGAACAAAAGAAATTCTAAGCATGCACTCTGCACCCAAACTACAAAACCATTGTGCTATGCCTTTTCTATTGCTCAGATCTTTCCCAACCGAAGCGTTGGCCTGATAGCAGATTTTTCGCCATTTGATAACGACTGTGGAGTTCGATCCGTCAACGTGACAGAAGTCGATCGTTCCGTTTATAGTTTGACAAGGTCCTTTTTGTCGACACTAGCTTTATATATAACTCATTATAGGATGGGTTTATCTGTGTATTTCTGCATCAGGTACCCGAGTCTGTACTTGGTCTATCAGTCACATATCATGATAACGAGCCCTTTGCCAGAATGCCCTTTCTTTCGCGTGAAGAATACAATAGGAGATGCACCGGCATTGTTTTGTCACCGCATGACTGCAAAGCAAACGTTTGAATTTCAGATGATAACGGACGGTCACGACTGACCCAGAGTGAGCAATGAATTTCTGGTTTTCTGAGATTCACGGATACTATTAGGAAAATTTTCAGACATGTTGGAGCGACATGCAGACCACAGTTCGGAGTCTCCGTGTCTCGTCTTGAAAAACCAGAATAATTAAATCAAATTTAGAAAGTCTTTCGGAAATGTATTTTATTCAAAACGATATTAATTTCAACATGAAATCGGGCGAGATGATATGTGGAAACTTTTGTATGTTGGTCCCAAAAGTACTATTCAAAATAAACTAGTTTAGAACATGGCAGCCGTAAGGACCTTCTGTATACTGAAATGGACAATTTGTTTAAGTAAATCTCTTTTTAAAGCAAGTTAGATTCCGGCTTTCGTGCAAGATTGCATCAAGAGCTATGCCAAAAGTTGCACTCCCTCTAACGCGGCAGCATTGAAGCGTTTGCCACAACCAGCCATGCAGCGGATAAAAGAAGCGAAGCTGAAATGATAAATCTGGCCGAAGAGGGTTTTGCGTCTGGAAGACGGAGAAAAAATTTGTGTCAGAGATATGCCTGATACAGTATCTGATAACAAAACAGCAGCAAAACAAGGGTTTCGCCTTTTCTCACTTCTCCTCGTAGGCTATGCTATAGCAGAAGCAAATCGCCCAACTGCGATATCAACATTCATGACAACTACAGAGTGTAAGCTGTGAAAAAAAAAATCTAGGAAACGAAGCCATGCACGCCTAAAGCTTTGCAAAGAGTGGTGAAGATGAATCAATAAGGTCGAGATTTGGAATAATGCAGGGCATGTTTACCGGTATCGCCAAGTACGTGACCGTGGTTTTGTCACAACAGAAAGCCTCGACTGCTGCTCCGCAGCCAATGGGCCGCTTCGCTCACTGCGCGGCATAGCTGAGATACCACAGAGTTGGATGCTTCCGCTCAAGTTGGTCTCCACCCTGACTCACCGACCGGGTCTCATGGGTATCCAGAGGATCGAGTAGTGTCGGCAAACATTGACACTGGATATCAGCTTCACAGGTTCACGCAATTTTCAAGTTTCGTCTGAGAGTAAATGCACCCAAATTAATTTGAACTCCTGGGATAAACACTTATGGCAAACAGAACAAAATAAATCCAACACCAAACTCATGCCATATAAAGAAGATATAGAAATAAAATAAGCACGCCGCTTCGCTTCCGTTTTGATTAATTTAACTTGCTCCCTATAGAGAAGCTGTTTCTGTACCTAGAACAGTATATATAGGGTTATGAACGTAATTTACACACATTGGTCATGATTGCGCCCAGCGGTGTTTGTTAAATACCAACATACAGGAATAGACCCTATGCAGCTGGTGCTCGGTAACAGTTCTTTTACATGGCAATCCCTTTATGGCATGCGTTCACTCTAGGCAACAAGACAACTCCAGTTTATTCTTTACACCTGTTGTAACTGCCAAACAAACAAACAAACAAACAAACACAACCCAACACCCCAACAAACAAACACCCCAACAAACAAACAAACAAACAAACAAACAACCCAACACCCCCAAACACCCCAACAAACAAACAAACAAACAAACAAACAAACAAACAAACAACAAACAAACAAACAAACAAACACCCCAACACCCCAACAAACAAAATTAAAACAAAACAAGAAGCCCCTCTCCCCATTTTTTTATCCATTGTGACAACATCGAAAAAAGGGGATAAAACCATTCAACAGTTGGGAATTCATAAAAGTATTTAAACTTCCGCTTCTAAATCAGATTTGGAATAATGAATGTCAATCCGTTAATGTGGTCGGAACAAAAGAAAAACCTGCTAAAGATAATGCACGGGATGACCCTGGCTCATTGCGTAATGGCAATGCAAACATTAGTTTAGTTCTCATCAGAGAAAAATAACAATAAAATAACGCACAAGTGCAAACGAGGACCAGTTACATGAGATTTAGTCTCTTTTATTAGACTTGTAACCTTCTAATGAAAATCCATACATTTGAAAATAGCCCATGTACATTAAGATAACATCCATTGCTGGTAATTTGTTGAAAAATGCACCGTCCTCAACAAAATATATAAAGGTAGCACTAGGAACTCATGCAAACGCACAGATTATTATGATGACTTCCGCATTTCATTAGTACACCTAGGTCCCATTTCAAAGCTCCTTTTAAGATATGGCAAAATATACAAAAGGCGACTAGAAAGAAGGCGAAGTTGTAGAGGATATATGACCGATCATCAAAGGATATATGACCAGACATTTTCTAATTATATTATGTTCCTATTCGGTCACAAAGGGGTATATACGCTGCTACTTAACTGATAATAGTAGAACAAAATCTGAATACGGTTGGATTGTCAAAAAGCGATGTACAGCGCAGTGCAAGTATTTACGGACTAAACAATATGGCACAATATAAGGCACAATTTGAAGATAAACCCTAAGACAGAATTGTTGTTATTTAATTAAGGGCTCCTCCCTGCAAGGATCACAGACCTTATTACTTCAGTTCTGATTAATCCTTGTCCGTTTTTGTACAGCTATATACAATCACTGTGATACTGTAATGTCATGCAATTTGTTTTGGGAGAAATTAATAGAGATTAAGGGCAGTTCATATTTCGTGCGAAAGCAGGAAACGGACGCGAATTTGTGACGTTATTCGCGTTACGAATTTGCAACAGTTGGACACATTTCAATCCGAGCGAATGTTTGCTGCAGATTTTGCGTGACGTCAAATTCGTTTCGCTTTCGCATCGGCTTTTACGTTGCCAATAAAAGCTATGGACATGCCTGCTTTTAGGATATGATGGCTACTGCTTCAGCGCATTATAAATTGCTTAAACGGCAGAAATTAATTAAATTGAATGAACATGCAAACCAAAGTTCAATGAGGTTGTTAACTCTCAAGCATGCTGTTGTCTGGTTGAAGTCGAGTGATCTGGCCGAAGTCAAATATTGGAGGAAGTATACCAGCGTCGATCTCTGCTGTTTTTTAGTTCCAGCTGGTGAAAGAAGGTAATAATACAGCCATTTCGTGGGAATATTTTAATTGGCATTACGCTACAGTCCACTCAAGTCTGTCAAAGATAATTATTGGGTCTTTTCACAATGGAGTTGGTAGGTTGGAAAAACCTTTCACTGATATCGTGTGCTTGACATCTCTCGTGCACGCGGAACGCTTTGTGAATACTGTGTATTGGAAGAGAAGATGAAGTCTGGCGGTCACGCAGCAAGGATATGTCCGACGGATCAGACTGTATCGTCATATCATCTGATGTTAGATGGCTTCGGATCACAGCAAGTCGCAACATTCGATCAATTCTAATCTTTTCATTGTCTAGCTAGGTTGTGTAAAGCCAAAAAATGACCTAACATACACATAGTATTAACTCCATTTTGGTTCATTCATAACGTTTGTTTTGTGATGTGCCTTTATGCTCAGTAGGCCCTGTACCACGGTACAATCTTCACCGTAACTGCAAGGTTGGGCCGCCTACTTTCCACCTTTATTTTGCAGAAACGGAAGGACGGGGAAGTATTACCCTGAAAAATGCGCCTTGTTTTGAATTTGGTTTTTGCTACTTTAAAGTATACTTTGTTGTCTCTGGGATTTGTATGTTAATGTATATATTTCAACATACATGAGGAAAACTGTGATGTCGTTCCAGAGAGAAAACTTCAGTGTTGCATTGATTTGTGCTCAAACACTGCCGGACATTTTTGTATTTTGCTGAGATCCATGATTGTTGTCTCAATGCGCGGCGACAGGCCAGTTAGCAACTCTCCCTCAGAAACGTTTCTCGCACAAAAATTTGGCTTCATATTTTAACAGAGAAACCCTATAACATGAACGCTGCCTTCTTCAAATAACACGACAGCAACAGCGCCCTCACTTGCCAGAAAAAAGGACAGTTTTCAAATGTATAAAATGCAAGAAAGGATGCTAGAAGTATAGAGAATTAAGTAGTTCTCAGCTAGCAATGTTAATCCAGAGAGAAGACTTTACAAAGATACCTCTCCAGAGTTCAAATCCAAAGCCCGAGGACTAATCCCATCAAAGTACGACCGCATTTACGCAGGCTTATCCGGTCATGTTGGACGCGTTGTGCCCTCTAAGGGTGGGTGAGTTAAGAGGAAGAAACCTTTGATGTATGCACTCACCATGCTTGGGTTGTCGGCGTAACGAGGCTGTGATGGGGGCTTGTTGAACTTGACACTCTCCCACTGGTAGACGCTTTTTGCTCTCTGAGAGGAAAAACAATGCGCAAAGATGTGAAGAAATACGACCATCAAAGAACAAACGAATTAAAATGGTGTCTTGTGGTTAATTAAAATTAAAAAGAAACAAGGGGTCTTAGGAAACTGAAAAAAAGGGGGGAACATCACAGTACAAAGTTACACGGAGTAACAATTCCGGCAGAGATAAAGTCTGCAGTATTTTATGGTCGCAGTCAAAGGTTAAAATTATTTGGACTTTCTTTATTTGGATGATCTTATAGGCAGAACCTTTTCTAGCAAAGATTACGAACCGATTTTCATTTGAGGCACATTCCAGAATGGCAAATGTCGACCTTAAATGTCTCATTCATTAATTTAATATGGTGATATTGGCGAGAAGAGTTCAGAAGCATAAAGCGACTGGATAGAAAGGTATTGGGCATCATTTCTAGTCAAACTTCTGTTTCGTGCATCGTCATTTTTCCTCTCTAGCCGAGCATTTCAAAGTTTTCGGTACACGGGCAACATAACATATGGCAGTGTAGGGAAGAAGTTGCGGCAAAAAAACAAAACAAAACAAAACAAAAAAACAATCAAGGCTTGTGGTGCCCACCTTCATCTGGAAGCTGGAGCCCTTCAGATCTTTCACCAGTTGGTCCATGCGCTCGTCGCTCACAGAGGAGAGCTCGGTCTCGCTGTCAGCCTCCTTGTCGTCCAGCTCCTCCGTGAGGTAATGGCTGAGGATGTCGGGACCCGTCTTCCAGGCCGAGGCGTATAGCCGGTCCGCCCGACTCACCTTCTCCCCGGCCTTGTGGCGTCCCCCGCGTGCCCGGACGAAAAGACAGAACACGAGTACCCCCGCCAGGATCAGGAAGGCGACGGTACCGAAGGTGATCATGGCGATGATAAACGGTGTCAGCACTGAAGTTATGAACAGATTCAAAATTGGGGCAATGCGATTTTTTTGGGCTAAATTTGAGAAAACAAATGACATTTTCCAAGTGCAATAACGTGACGCTAATGCTTTGTATCGGTCCCTGGCACCGTGCGCCTAGCTGAGCGAGTTTTTTGGGGATTTCGATCCACGTGAACATTTGGATTTCGTCCCAATGTTCCATAATTGGCGAATTCGCCAATAGCACACAACATTAAGTCAAGCTGTGGCTTTCAGAAATAATTTGCACAATCTCTGGCAATGTTTCACTTTCTGTTTACAAGATGTTACCGGAACTATACAAACACGCCAATCCATTCCACGCACGATGCAGTCTTCATTAGTTCTTTGAGAAAAATATTTGCTTACCTACTGAGTCGCAAGTAGGACCGTAAAAATCCCTGGCACAGCTGTAAGCATAGAAAAGCGTTACGATTTGATACATCGGTACTCATTAAATTTCTTCATTCTCTTTTGGATGGGCAGTAATTTTGATTCCATTAGAAAGCAAAATAATTTATTTTTAAAAAGTAATTAAAATCAAGTAGCCTTTGGAAAGGCAACTCTTAGTAAGGAAAATTCTGGTCTTTGAAATAAAAATCATGAAAACGTCAAGATAAATGATATTTTCTCTAATCTTGAGCAAACCACTGTGTCCTGGAAGTTTCAAGTTATTTGAATGATATGCTTTTATATTTAATTTCTTCTTTCACAAGTTGAATTGCTTTGTTAAATTGTGCCGAACAGAATGGAGCCCTTTAACACCTCAGCCACTCACAGCGGCCCCGATCCTGGCCACTGTCACTTCATAATTGGTTCAAACTTGTGTACTTACCTACATGATGGCCTCAGGTCTGGAAATACACCACCAAGGCGACACGTTCCATCATTGGAGCAATACTTCGAAGAGCAACCTGCACTTTGTGGTTCTGGAATCAATATAGTCATATTAAATATGCGTTCACATGGACGGAAGAGACACTTGTTTAATTTTTTTTCTGTGAAGAATGATTTTTGAAATTAAATCTCATATCAGAAAAAAATAGAACATACCCTCCTGTTCTCTTCTGAACGGAATTTTCATTTTTTCCAGGTTGAGCATTTAGCCTTGTTTCAAGGAACATGATTGTTCACGTTTACGAATCCTGACTTTCAAACGCTGCCAGGGAATCAGATTTGTTTAACGAAACAAAAGTGACCACCCCCAGATGCAGGAGTATTTTCACTGAGAGACACTGTGGTTGATTGCGCCTCTTAAGGTAATGTCATCTCATTCATTACGTGTAAAGTTAGGTCATGAAAAATCAAAGTCATCAATCACGTAACTCGGAGCGTTACACTGAACAGAGAGTTTGAAACCCATGGACAATTTAATTTTCTTCCGATAGTCAACCGCAAAGGTCTTGGCGTTTCCTTGCGAAAGGAGAACGTGACATCTTGCTAATTTTAACTAGCTGCGCGCATTCAAAATCACTCGGGAAGAATACGAAAGGCAGAAATCCTCGTTTTGCAACTATACTTAGCATGCATGAATGTTCGGGAGTGTATAATTCACTAGTATTGACCAGAAGCTTGGTGAGCAAAATATCGTATTTGTGACTTAATCTGACAAGAGACTGGGCCTTGGGTGATTTCGAATCGAACCACATAATGCCTGTAGTTTTTCAGAAAGGATGGTGATAACAGTTTACGTACTGCTCACGTTGAACTTCTCCTGTTTAAGCTCTATCTCCACACTGGCATTGCCAAGCTTTTCTTTTTTCAACACCTTCGTCAAGTCTCCTTCCTTCACATTTTCCTCTTTTGGAAAAATGACCATGGTTGTGACTCCGATGCTTCCGTTCTCAAGCCTGATGCCGACAACGTCTATTACGGTCTCTGTGGCGGGGTCGTTCTTCAGCGACATTCTTATCTGCAATGAATTTGATGTCATCCTTCAAAGGTATATTACTGACCAGATATCCAACGATTCTTTTGTTTGCATGAACGTAGACATGTACAGAAAATGGATGGCTTTTGCCACTTCCATTCAGTACCATGCCCGGACGAGGCGCAAGCAGTCCCTTGACAATAAAGGGAGTGTGGACATTCGGGTTAGGTTTTAGGAAACTCTATCTCCCGGGCTTTTCACTGTACATATTTCCGACACAAATATCTCTAGAATCCAAAATAGTATTGACCTGAAGTTTGAGTGGATTTTGATAAACCAAGTAAAGAGTACAGGATTTAAAGCTTGAAGCATGGAAAATCCGCTGTATACGATGTGCAGGGCGTGGTCTCCGCCCTTACAGAAGGGTTTCATGTGCTTATTTTGAATCCTGTGTTATGCGAAGGTCAAAGGGTATGAGACGTGGAATCACGCCAGAAGGCTCGAAGGGTACACGCATTCATTACATTCTGAGTGTTCCTTATTACTCTCTTAACCCTAACAGTCCCAAATCCTCCAATTTCAATATGATTTTACATACACCCTAGGGGGTTAGGGTTAATGTGGGGAAAACTCTATGAAGAGTCACGAGAGGGAAAACTCTGTTTCAAGTGGTCCTTCGCGTGTAAAATGCAATTTGTCTCTTTTTGAGTGATTTTTCAATCTGGTCCCAAGTGAAAACCCTCGAAAAGAGAGCAGCAACCTCCGCTCTTTTCAAATAGTCATAATCAAGGATCATTCAAAATCTAACTTCTTGTTTCACTCTTTTACATTCAGAGAGTATACCTCTTGTGTATGGTTGATGGCGCAGCCTGACACAACGTAGCGCACCCACCGATAGAAGAGCGTTACATATACAGGATTCTTCACAAAGTTTGAAAGGCCCCCTTTTACAAAATGGAAACAAAGTCAGGCACACAACCGCTCCTTTTTAATGTAGGCCAACTTGACTTCACTTATTTTCTTTCCTTCTTTTTTAAACCTTACTTACAACAGGAATGACGGCGTCTAAAACCTTCCTGGATTCTGCGGAGTTGATGTCACGGTGTGCAGGCTTATACGTAGCATCTATCCCATCTATTCTGGTGACGTCGAGCTTGGTCGTAAACGGCTCTTCCTCTAAATTGGAAAGAAACGATTCCAGTTAAGAGGATTCTCAATTAAAAATTATAAACATTACAAATTTGACCCAAGAGTTGAGTCAATGAGCTTTTGGCTTTGAAGCAATTAGGCAATTTCCAACTTGTATTGCTGAGTCCATTAGGATAATGCAGTGTAAACATTTCATCCACACCTCTCTCTCTCTCTGTCTCTCTCTCTGTCTCTCTCTCTCTATCTCTCTCTCTCTCTCTCCCACCTTTTTTTCAAGCACATTCTGGATGTTTGTGTCCAAAACAATAGGACAAGCAGCTTTCTTCTCTCGTTACGAACAACACCGCACGTGTCCTGCAGCGCTGGAAGTGACACTGAGATCGGCACTGTACAAATACAACATGGTCTGAGGGGAAGTAGTGGGAATTACTAGTCAGGTATAGGGTCTGGAGGTTATGACTATCTCCAGACACAAAGTCCTCAGATATAAGGCACGCTATACTTGCTTAATACACCTCATAAAAATATTCTTGAGCAAATTGACACTATATCAAATTCAAGGTCAACATAGAATTTTTTTCGTTAGTTATAGCGTTCCGTTTGTTCTGGCAAGAATTATATTCAGGCGTCTTCCTTTACTAGTATTTTACGGACTAAATTTTTCCAAGGAAGGCTCCAGAAGGAATTTTTTAGTGCTACCATAAACAATACCGCACGGCAGCGAGCTGGATGCTCACCGGTATGACTTCACCCGGGTGCGTATCGTTTCTTCTTCCGGGACACGGGGCGACATTCGGCCAACAACGCGCTCCAATTTGCTGCTGAATATTTATGAGGTGTCGTAAATAATCATGATTCCATCTCTGATCTACCAATGCATTTGCCGTCTTTCTGCACGTAGCCCTCCAGTGAGTTGCATTTGCAGACATATTCCTTCCCATCCGTGATCTTGGTGTCGCTCTCACAATACTGACCCCTTTCTGGACATAGGTCCGGATTTTCCGTACATGGATTCTTCTCCGTCGAGACTGTGCACAAAGATGAAGCTTGGTGAGAACAGAGCCCCCAATTTTACAGGATGTCTACAGTGAAACAAGTACCGTGGCATACCGCTAGTCTTAATTAACCACCCGAGGAGACGAACTTGCCGTTGTGACACCCACCATGGCCTCGCTGGGGTTTTCAGACTTCAATTAATTAAACGTCCGTTTTCACAATGGACCAAGTCAGTGTTTCATTCCGGAACAAATGACGCGAGCGTGAGAAGTATTCAGCACTTGTTGATCGGCGCACGGTCGCTCTGTTTGGGCTGACATTGCGCAGGCGTATTGCTGATCCAAACTCAGTTTTGGACCCTATTATTAGAAACAATATTGATTGAGGACGCACGACCCTGGGAATAAAACCAGTGTATCACTGGAAAGCCACAGACTGTCGTCTTTAAGATGTTACCAAGCTCGTTGCTTGTACTTATGGACATATGAACCTGTTTTTCCCCTTTTCTTTCCAACCGGGCTCGTGCACACGCCTCATGCATACGCAAAGACCGTACATTCGCTGAAAAAGAAAATTGGTCGCGCATGCATGAATCATACCGAACGCTCATGCCAAATCCGACTGGCTGCCGGTGGCTCCAGTGACCACTGTGTGCGGATTGGGGGCATTGCGAGCCCAGACTTCCAGATGTCCATGGTAAGCTCATGGAATTTTATCAAACGCTATTTATGTAAAACACGCCTCATTTACTCAACCTGGTGCATATGTTGAGTATTTTGTACTTGAACTCTGAGCAGTTAAAAGCAGTTAAGGTAACTCAAACCGGAGCGTGGGGTGTGGAGGAACGACGGATATGGCCTGGCCTCTTTAGCTTCAGCTTCAGAAAATCCTGTTTAATCGTTTTTGCTCTTAGGTTCCAATCTAAGCGGGATTTTAGTGCTCTGTAAAAAGACTTTACAATCATGATATTTCCTGTGCGCCCCAGATTAATCGGGAAAGATCCCGCTGACATTGGAAACTAATAGCAAAAAAAAAAACAAAAACAAAAACAAAAAAAACAAGATTTAATGGGATTAAAAAATATAACGAACAAAGCCAGAAAACCTGAGAGAAAATGCTCAAAGTCGAACCCCTGTACATTTTCAATGGCCCTTGCCGCCAAGGCTATTTGTGCACATGCGTGAATATACCTTGCGTCGCAAAGGGCCTATTTTTTTCTGTTCGTTGCACCAAGGGTGTACCCTCGTAATTAGGCCAGAAATATGTCCGCCGAGCTCATTAATAAAAGTTATACACTCAAAATATTCTATATTAGAGGGTCCTGAAAGCCATGGAACTGAGGAATTGATGAAATATGAGACTGGACCTCTGGGCCGGACTCGAGGCTTCCAATTCTGAGCAATTTGGATGCAATCGGCTTTGAAAGTAGCACTATATGAGCCATTTTGCCGAGGGAGGGTTTTTCAAAATGGCTACTTTTCTGGACAGGCACATTTTCTGCTTGTAGGGGTGGACTGCTTCTGGTGAAAATTTCTCAAAAATTCATTGGTCAACCCCCCGAAAATTAAAAGGAAAATGAAAGAGGACATGTGGAACATCATTTTTCTGTGCAGCCTGAACACCTGTGACAGTTATGAGTATTTTTAAAATATCTGTCTATGGGAATTTATTTGTAGTGGTGCACCCCCAAGGTGATCACTTCGAGATCACTTCGTTATAACCCTCTTGCAAACTCCACAATCCCTTCTTATGGCATTTAAATTGATTAGAGGGTGTCCCCAAGTGCCTACAAATAGGGTCAGAGACACGGTACCCTTTTTCCAGTCAAGGGGGGTCCCACCACAGTCAACAAAAATTTGACACCCCCCCACACACAATGAAACTACTCAAACAGCTGTCCAGACGCTCACAGACACATCAGATAGACCAACCATTGATGATACAAGACAGTCCTTTCCCAGGCACTGTCTTTGTCAATAATTCCTTATCGATACGTGGCTGAGATATTGAAATACAATCCCATTGGACTTGGCTGGAGGCTTGTTCTGGAAAAGAATTACCCAGCTCACGGGAAGTCCCCATGGTACAGGTGACTAAACTAGGCTGTTCAGCATCTACAGAGGTATAAATTAACAGGAGGGTTTTGCATTTGGCCGAAACAAAAATGTTTAATTACGTAATTAGAAAAATTTGGATCCCAGGTGTATCAACTCCGCTGCAGGAAGGGTAAAAATGAAAAGGTCTATTCATTGCTTTTAGCGCATTTGACGTTTGTAGACAAGAAAGGTGGGATCCACAATCAGGACTACCAGCTTGTATTTCTGAAAACATTCGACACAACGGGCCTCCCCAAAATCACTGTGTATTGCAATGGAGATTCCAGCTACAGTCGGTAGTGAATCCAGGTCTTGGGCCCGCAAGGGGGTGAAATTTTTCCCAAAGAATGACTTTCTATTATTTTTAACTGTAAAAGAATCGTCATTACCCGGGAAAGTAATGGGTCTGTTTCCGAAGTAAAAGCACTTTCTAATCCTGAAAAGGAGATATATACGCCACTGCCAACATTTAAAATGTAGTTGCAGAGGATCCAAAGGTTTTTTTTTTTAATGTTAAATGAACATGGTCCTAATTTGATCATTTAAAATAGGCTAAATCTAACCTTCGCAATTGACACCGGCAAATCCACTCTGGCACAAACACTCGCAGGACTCTTTCAGCAGTTCCCCGTTGTTTTCACAGTTCAGTCCACAGCCTTTATAACGAAAAAGACACATGCTCTATTGCTGTTTTTTTAACTAAAATGTTTTGCTTGCTTGAGTGATGATGTGTTCAAAGTTGCGTACTGGCTAGCTAGCTCCCTATTTACTGGCTTGCCGGACTGTTTGCGCCCCCACGCGATGCATGCTCACCGACCAGCTCGACTGTTTCAATAGACTGGTGCTTTGTCTCCAGACGTCTTACAGACGTCCTCCCACCGTAGGTATGGTAGTGGGTAATACAGCCTGCCAGTTTAATGTAAATGAGGTAACGAGGCCTGCTCAATGCACACACTTTAATCAAGCAGGAGCTGATAGAATATTTCGACATTTCTTCTAGACTTACCGAAAATAACTTCACCCAAAATTGTTAATAGACTAAAATTAAACAAAATAACTTCTGATTTGAAATAAACTGCCGTAAAATAGGTTAACGATGATATTTATTGAAAAATGATTTACCATACTGATCATCAGAGGATGAACAAGAATAGCTACTTGTGTATTATGTGCGTTACTGATGAAACGTAATTCCAATTTAAAAACATTGCTATTGGCCTGACAAAAATTTAAGTATTCAGCATCCACATTGACAAGGCCAATAACATACGTTAAAGCAGTTAGCTAACTGTCCCTATACATGTATAATAGGGACGGGAACCAGTCCACAGATTCAATAGAGCCTGAAAGTTGACCCCTGATGGTGCGCTTCTTGAACCCTTCGACAGGAAAAGTAACGTGCTATTTTTTTTAATTTGTAATATTTTTTCATTCAGTTACTTCTTCGAAATCAAACTCAAAAGAAAACCTTTGAAAAATATTCTGTAGCAAGTCAGTTTAAGAAACTAAAACACCACCTGACCTAAAAGAGACCTATCCTGCAAGAAGTTGACCCATTACTTTCGAAAATCTAAAATACATGATGGAGCAGTGCAATTCGGCCATCTCGTTTATGATGAACATGAAATAAGCTGAAAGCAATATTCTACTTTTATGAAAGATTCTAATATTTTATCTAACCTTTGCTGACAACAACTGCGTGATGTCCATTCAGCGGAATCTGAAACCTATCGACTGCAGGTAGGTAAATCTTTGCAAGGTTGTACAATCTCGTTTTCAAGAAAGCACGGCGAGTGAAAACAAATGTGCATGAACAAGGAGACCTAGGTACCATATTGATGGAGGTGAAAGGTCTTTAATGAAATTCGTTTTTTACCCATCTCCAGCTGACTTTTCCTAAATACTTCTTCAGGAAAGCAAGGTAAGATTCCAACATGACTGTTTCATGGGGTGGTTTCAGTTAGGAATCGTTCTTATATTATTATAGGACGTCTCCATTAAAAAACAAACAAACAAAAAAAACAAAAACAAAAACAAACAAAAACCCGCACACAGGCGGACCGCGCAAGGGTTCCGGAAGTTTGTATGATGTTCCATAAGTGCCAACGGCATACTCTCCCTGACGTCGCTTTTTTGGGGCGTCGCATTTTTTTCGATGTTGTATTTTTCGGCATCGTATGTGTTTTTTTCTACGTTTCACATTTTGGCATAGTGTCGTATTTTTTTCTGGCGTCGTATATGTTGTCGTATATGTCGAGTTTTAAACGGTGTTTTTTTTTCGAGCATGATTAGATGAGGCCAACGTGAAGGCTGCCCTAGACCATTTGATCTCCAAACCAACACTGTGACTATTACGAGAAGTTACGTGTATTGCTACAACAGCTACCTAGATCCGCACATTGCAAGACTTGGCCTAAAGTTTAGACAGGATCTAAAATTGCTGCACTCTTCCAATTAAAATGCAAAGCTCTACCCAAAAAATGCGACTCTCTGCCAAGCAAATGCGACATTCTGCCCAAACATGCGACACCAAACAAAACTGCAACAGGCCTGTCTCAAAAATGGGTCAGCGAGGAAAAAAAAAATCGTCGTCGAAAAACAAAGCCACGCCGGAAAAGTCACGCTTTTACAGTAGACGGTTTGCATTATGGAACACCATGGGTTTACAGCAAAGAAAGTGTAATTAAGGCATGCTTACTCCTGGTTGTTAAAACTTGAGTAGAAATTCCAGCAATAGTTGTGCCATCAAAATTTAAGGCTTCGCTTGTTTTCGGGTAGGTTGTCCCTTCTGGGATTGATTGTACTGTTGTTGCATCGTCGTTTAGAGGTGGAGTTTTAGTCTCAGTAGTCAAAGTGACGTTTTGTCCCTTGGTGGTTGTTATTGTAGGTGAAGTCATTGTCGTTCCGTTTGATGGAAGTACTGTTGTTGCATCGTCGTTTAGAGGTGGAGTTTTAGTCTCAGTAGTCAAAGTGAAGTTTTGTCCCTCGGTGGTTGTCATTGTAGGTGAAGTCATTGTCGTTCCGTTTGATGGAGGTATTGTTGTTGCATCGTCGTTTAGAGGTGAAGTTTTAGTCTCAGTAGTAGAAGTGAAGTTTTGTGCCTCGGTAGTTGTCATTACAGTTCTTGTCATTGTAGGTGAGGTCATTGTCGTTCCGTTTGATGGAGGTATTGTTGTTGCATCGTCGTTTAGAGGTGAAGTTTTAGTCTCAGTAGTAGAAGTGAAGTTTTGTCCCTCGATGGTTGTCATTGTAGGTGAAGTCATTGTCGTCCCGTTTGAGGGAGGTACTGTTGTTGCATCGTCGTTTAGAGGTGAAGTTTTAGTCTCAGTAGTAGAAGTGAAGTTTTGTCCCTCGATGGTTGTCATTGTAGGTGAAATCATTGTCGTCCCGTTTGAGGGAGGTACTGTTGTTGCATCGTCGTTTAGAGGTGAAGTTTTAGTCTCAGTAGTAGAAGTGAAGTTTTGTGCCTCGGTAGTTGTCATTACAGTTCTTGTCATTGTAGGTGAGGTCATTGTCGTTCCGTTTGATGGAGATACTGTTGTTGCATCGTAGTTTAGAGGTGGAGTTTTAGTCTCAGTAGTCAAAGTGAAGTTTTGTCCATCGGTGGTTGGCCTTGTAGATCCACCTGAATTGGTTATTGCCCCGTCAGTAGTTTTAATTGTAGTTCCTACAGGTGCCGTGTCAGTTGTCGTTTGAGCAGTGACTGTTTGAAAACAAAACTGAGGTTGAATATCGTTGGATTAATCAGCTATGACTGAGGGTTCCGTAATTTGTAGGGGTTTTCTGAGCATTATGGGTGAAAGGAGATTCGAAGCCCTCTGTTAGTTTTAGTTTATACAGCTTTGGGGAAAAAAAAAGAAGTATTCGAGAGAAAGTAATTTAGGGTGTATTTCCCAAAGGATATCTCCCACTTTTTGGCAAGTGGGAATGAGCTATCGGACCCACCCTCACTATTTGTGGTGAGGAAAAAACAGATAATTTGAGGAGAGGGGTTTCCAGAACTTTCCAACAAAAAATGTGATGAATAGTATTGGAAGAGGGAGAAACTGAAGTAAAGCGCTTTAAATTTGCTGTTTTCTTGCAAACAGCGCCGACGAATGTCATGTGTTTGTCTGTGAATCCCCTCCTCTCTTTTTGAATTTCCACATCAGGGATTGCAATCATCCCCACCCCTGTTTTCCCCAACATATTCACGCCACCGAAGCAAAACTGTATTAACATTTAACATAGAAGAACTCTTACGGAAGAATTCTTACGGATACATGGCATATTATTTCGAGTGTGCATTTTAAATACTCTTAGAATATATATGACAAACACCGAGTGTAGTTTTGATTTGATTGATAGGTATAGGTACACATTTTGGCTGACCTGAATCAGAAAATGGGCGCTGTGCGAGAGCCTTATGCTCGAATCGATTTTCACAAACTTGTTGTCAAGATGACTGCAAAGAGTTACTGAAGATCTCCTAAAGTTTCGGGTCGTGAAAAATATGCACTATACAGGAAAAACTGTTCATAAGAGACGGGTTCAAGCCCCCGGCTCTTTTAAGGTTCTGTAAACTGAAAGTTCAGCTGCGGCGGAAATGTTTTTAGAAACCTATTGCAAACTGGAAACCCGACTGCCTTAATTATTGTTTCTTTAATTATAACACTTGGTCTTTAGACCGTTTGCCCGAGCTGCGTACTCACTTTGGTTTAGTGCCACATTCAGCCACACCACAAAGGTGATGCAGAAAATCGAACAGAAGCCCATCCCGGCGGTCGTCTTGAGTAATACTGAAGTAGTAGTTTAGAGGATTTCTGGTTGAATTTACAAAGTATTAAGTAAGGCTGGCGAGTTGGAGTGTGATGTTTTCACTATGTTTTATCTGGACGTTGCTCGAATTGACATCGTTGGAAAAGGCGTTCGCGATCGCGACTGCACTGCCTTCACAGCCAGCTGTTTAGTACCTGTAGAATAGGCTAATATATTGAACACTTCCCCGGAGTGGCGGCTGAGTTGACAGGTGAACGGATGTCAGTGCCTCAAAGTCCACGAATCTTATCGACACTACCCTATGGCCTGAACAGCCTCTACCTTGAAAATAACAATAAACCTTTCAGCGGAGAATGCGTGACCATTATTCATAAAGACATTTGAAGGGCATTTCCGTATGGATCTCTCAAACTCTTTTGATCGTGAAGTGATCAAGGAAACGCCCTGAGGAGTCTATCTGTGTGTTGTTATTTGCTTGGAAGTAAATCAGGACAGAATACTCTAGTTATAAAAAAAGAAACAACACTATATAATAGAACTTCAAGTTGCCATTGAAAATGTCTATAGTTATTTCATCCAGTCATGCCACACAAGACATTTCTCAGTAACATTCTCTCTAATGACAATACATATGAACTTGTATTTTCACAAAAGTCTTAACCCTATCTGGGATCCATCCCACAAAAGTTGAGTGTATATGACTTACATAGATGACATGATCTGGTGACATCATTGGAAGCAGCAGACAATTTTCATAGCTGTATGTCTCTCCTTGCACTATTAGATTTGTGTCTTTTGAGGGGAATGTAATTACTAAATATACGGAGTAAACAACGCCAATTATATTATGCGTCTTGATCCAGCAATTTCAACTAAAACTACCCATATGAATTGGGAAAATATTAAAACAAATACATTTACCCTAGGTATTTATAATGTACCTTCCTTCACCACTTTGCTTTGTTTGATACATACAGCAGTTGAAACACGGGGTGAAGTTGTTAAACAATTCATGAAACAATTCAAACATGTATTTTTCTTAACAGTGTGTTGAAGTGGCGTGGATAAGATAACATAGGCCTATCGGAATAATGTTACATTTGCCTATACTGCCAGAGGTGTTATTCTACTAAAGTCTCACTACGTCTGTTCAAACAAATTTTCAGGCTTAAGAAGTGACGGCTGCCCAAACACTTATGACATTATTGACGATAATTAAATCTCCTGTCCGTTTTTGCTGGAAAATCAGAGCTCAAATCGGAAGGCTAAGGCGGTTGATTATTGGCAAACGGAAAGAAAGATGCAACTTGTGGAAAACATTAAGTGTTGTGAAAGTTCTTCCAACGAAGGTGATCCCGGTCCGCAGTCAAAGTATGATTCCGGTTAGACAAAACATATTTAAGTAAACGCCATCATTTCACTCCCCTGTCCATGTTTCCGCATATTTGCCGTGTTACAAACGAAACGCTTAACAAATTTGACATTTCACACAAACTTCAGCAAACGTCAAAGACAAGACATTTGGTAAAGTGGCTTTCAGTCATTTACAGATCTAGGCTTTTCTTTTAAAACGGTAGAATTATTAAGAGACAATGCTTAGAAATAGCTAGTATATAATAGTATAAAAAAAGCTCACGTGGATAGGTTGCCGTAAAATTCTTATAACTGTTATTACGAGCCACTTTCTTACGAGATGAGTTGAAACTTTGCGCTGATGTGCATGTATCCAGCAAGAAGCGAGACAGAAGGGAACCCCCCAACATGTCCAATTGCTATAAAGAATCAATCCGATTCCAGTGAAACAGTGACCAACACAAAGCAGGGGGGGTTCTCTCCGTCCCATATCTTGCTTCATATGGATGTGCAAGTGTGTAAGCTTTAAGCTGTCTACAGTCAGACCCATTGTTTTTTTTTAATTAGTATAGTGTATAGAGCAGAAGAGGCATTGCGCAGACCACAAACCTTACTTGATTGTAGGAATAAGATATAGCCTTCCTCAGCGACTTGATGCAGACAGTTGGCAAAGTTGAACCGGGCTCAACTTTGCCGATCCGTCTGGGGCTGGTTTGCGTTAGTGGCGATACATCTCGTTTGACATGTTTCCATTTGTCTGCGTTGCAGTTTACGTCTTGATTGCGTTGCTGTCTGCGTTTCTCGCGTCGTTACGGAGACCAGGCTTGTTTTTGCTTAACTGTCGCAAAATATTTGCAAAGGGAGGACTCGTCCCGACCCACTAACATTCTTCAGTCGGTTTGTGTAAACTGATAAGCCGCGATCATCACAATACTATCTGTAACACCAATGTTCGGAAATCGGTGTTGTTTCATTGTAACCAAGGACTCAATGGTATAAACATGAGATCGCCAGGACGACAGTGTGTGTTTATGACTGTATGTGATTGTTGTCGCGCACCTATTGGACCCACTTCCAATCCTGGCGATATGGATGCCCTGGTGGCGATGGAGCCGTCAACCGCTGATCGAAAAATAATGAACTTTGCAGTTGTTGACATAAGAGTTTCAGATTCAAGTTCAAACTGCACCAAAGTAGAATGAGAGTCGGTAAGTGGGCGAATTGTCGGGGGGACAGATAGCTTTATACCTGACTTTTTTTTGGGGGGGGGGGGCTTTGTACATTCCCTACACCCGCTGAACGGTTCCAAGTTAATCAGCAACGTAGTGGCGTAGCCAGGCTCTTCTCAGAGGGGAAGGGAGTAACCGCACAGCGGGGGAGGGGGGGGGGGCGCTGTCCTTCTGTACCCCTTGGCTATATAGCCAGGCTCTTCCCAGAGACTGGAGAGGGCAAGGTGGGTATGAGTTCCGGGGTGCCCCTACCTCTTGGCTTCACCAATGCAGCAACCTCTAGAATTAATGACTCACACTATTCATCTACTTACAGCTTTCTCTTGTCAGTCCGAGGTTCTGTGTTGATCTTCAAACAGTTAAGTGTTCATATTTTTAATTGCACGCCTTTCAATGAAGAATTTATTCCTTTTTGAGGAAAATGATGAGACTTGTGCTCATCAACGTAAGTACCGGTCTATTCTGTATACAGTGCTTATGATTGATGGTTGAATTGTTTCTGTTTCTATATAACATTAAAGCAACTTAAAGTATTAAGACACCCTTGTCAATCTTTTACTTTCTAAATTATTTTCGTTCTTATGTCTGGGCTGCTGATAAAAGAGGTATGTGATACACATTGAAATATTTTAATTGTCTGTTTTTCTTTTGCTTTCAACGCGTTGGTGAATCTTTGGGATTCGTTTGTTTCAGTCTTTTAAAATTTTATTTTGTTTTAATCGGTTTTGCTTGATCAATTATTAGATGGCAATATGGCCAGCTATTGATTGGTTGGTTAGGTAACTGTTGCTTTTTAGGCTAGTTGTCCGGCCGAGACAATAATTTGCTGTTCGTACGGCATATTCAGTTATTTTCCTACTACATGTATCTTTCCTCAGTATGCTCGACTTTATGAGTAATACATTTTAGTGGTGCAATTGCAACATGTCTGTCGAATCCA